CCCTCTGCATCAGCACAAGATGGGACCCAAGAGTGAGCCAGACACGCTCATTTCTTGCCCCAGATCTGCCTACAGCCTTCTCTTGAGCTGAGTGAGCCCCACCTCCTGCCAGTGCCATCAGTAGCAATCAGTTGTGTAGCAGGAGCCTTCTACCTCCTGCCTGTCTCCCACAAGCTGCTGCCGCATTGGCCCCCTTGCTGAATCTTTACATTACAAGCTTCTGGGCTCCTTCTGAGCACAGGCCTGGATCCAGACAATCTGTCCATTTATTACAACTCATAACATAGTGTGGGCAATTCAATACCTTAGGGAGAGATGACACCTCTATTCTAAGCTTAGCATGGCCCCTTACGTTCACATAGAGGAGTGGTTTTCAACTCAGGGTATGCATAGTTCTGGGGGTACGCAGAGGGCTTCCAGGGGTACATCAACTCATCTAGATATTTGCCTAATTTTACAACAGGCTACATAAAAAGCACTAGTGAAATCAGTACAAACTAAAATTTCATACAATGACTTGTTGATACTGCTCTATATACTATACACAAATGTAAGTACAATATTTATATTCCAATTGATTTATTTTACAACGATATGGTAAAAATGAGAAAGTAAGCACTTTGTCAGTAATAGTGTGCTGCGACACTTCTGTATTTTTATGTCTGATTTTGTAAGCAAGTTGTTTTTAAGTGAGGTGAAACCTGGGGGTATGTAAGACAAATCAGACTCCTGAAATGGGTACAGTAGTTTGGAAAGGTTGAGAGCCCATGACATAGAGCTCCACTGAAGTCACCAGGACTCTACACGGGCATAAATAATCATGCCAGCGGGTCATGGTATAGGTTCCATGAAAATTCTCTTGAAGAAGTCTGGTTTAGAAACAGCTGCATTTGAAAGTAACATACTGCACCCACATACTACTTTGATGTCATTACCTTTTTAAGCACATATCTGGTTACACTCCTCCAAATACATGCATGTGCATGTTCTTGAATGAGAGATTTGCAAATCTCTCAGACAGTTGCACTGTTTGACAAGACACATTAAAAAAATGAATTAAAAAGTTTTTTTTCAAAAAGGAAAACTAAATGCAAAGAATCTAGGTAAATGGCACACTGCCTGCGGCAGCTTCACCCAATTCGCCGACTGGCGGTTCATACACCGTGCCCGGCTGAACTGCGTCCCTCTCAATGGAGCCATCCGGCACGGGAACCGGGACAAGCACTGCAGGAAGTGCGGGTACACCATGGAGACCTTGCCCCACATCCTGTGCAGCTGTAAGCCCCACGCCAGAGCCTGGCAGCTGTGCCACAACACCGTCCAGGACCGCCTAGTGAAGGCCATCGCCCTGCACCTGGGAGAGATCGCCGTCACCCGCACCATCCCCGACACCGACAACCCGCTGCGCCCGGACATCGTCGTCACGGACAAGGATCGAAAAAAGATCATCCTCGTCAACGTGACGATCCCCTTCGAGAACAGGACCCCGGCCTTCCGTGAAGCCCCAGCCCGCAAACTAGAAAAATATCCTCCCTTAGCTGACATCCTGCGGGCAAAGGGCTATGAGGTTTACACCGACGCTCTGATCGTTGGGGCCCTGGGTGCCTGGGACCCCTGCAATGAACGTGTGCTGAGGACCTGTGGGGTGGGCTGTCGTTACGCGCGGCTCGTGAGACGCCTAATGGTCTCGGACACTATTCGATGGTCCCGAGACATTTACTCAGAGCACATCACCGGCCACCGCCAATACCGGGAGTGAGCTGGCGTGACTTCGTGCACCCACAAGGGGGAAGAGACCTGTAAACCTCCCCTGTTGGACTTTATCCCCTGAGCCCTGAACCCACCGAACCAAACTGAACTCCATCATGTGAGGGTCACCCATCCCCATTACCCGGCCTGCTTAATTATATACCCACGACTGCTTGTACTTCTTGTATGACTGATGTACCCTCACTGCTTGCTGACTGTATCCTGATCTCACCCACCGTATACCCCCCCTCCATTGGGGACATTGCAGACTGTATATGCTATGTGCTGCCCACTACCAAAATACTAGCATTCCCCCTATACTCTGTATGTTACCCCCGATGACCAATAACTGACGCTTCAAATTCTCTGTATCATTTATTTTTTTAAATATTTCCTGAGGGCCCGAAAGTATGCTAGCAGCTTCAAAGAAACAAGTAAAGACCCAGCCCTACCCAACAGCTCATCTGTGAATAGGTATTGTGAAAGAGCAGCGAGGGACAAAAAGGGAGGGGAATTGGAATGAGTAAGAGCAGTGTTACAATAAAGATGATGTGAATACACAGTAAGACATGTTCCCAACTTGGTGGTTCTGTAACTTGGGGGTGGGGGAGGAGGCACATTTTATTCCCTAACCCCATCTCACTTATTAGAGGCAAGGTGACAGAAATTAGTTTACGATGCATTTGAATGCAGAGAGGGAACTGGTTTGATGAACAGCTGTGTTAGTCTGAATCTGTAAAAAGCAACAGAGGGTCCTGTGGCACCTTTAAGACTAACATAAAGACTGGAATTTCAGAGCAAAGGTTCCTGTAGCAGTAACTCAGTAACTGAGTCACTTGCACCTATTTGTTAAATGCCAGAGTCTGCATTCCTGTGCCCAAGATTTTCCACTGGTTTCTACCATACAGAAATCATAGGTGCAACCATGAATGCACAATTGGGTTTAAGGCATTCATGTTAAAATTATATGTATTGACACAAATAACTCATATGCCCACAAAGGGCTGGGTAAAGGTGACCGTAGGCATCTTTGTTCTGAATGTCCTGAAATGTGAGAGATTAAGATACACTTAACGCTTTATAAAAAGCATTTTATTCTGAATATATCAGAACTATTACTAATTTGCACCAAAAACTGAAGACCCATTATGAATTATTGTGCTGTGCAGGTTAATAAATACTGCAAATTAAAACTGAAAAGAGAAACAACGTGTCTAAGTTTACATTGTAGTAATTTATTGATAACTATTCATAACACACTAGTAAATATGATGCAAAAATAATAAACTCTTAACAACTTGCAACCGTTTCCCTACATGCTATGAAATCTTTACTGTGGAATGGCAAGAGCAAGCAATAAAAATGTTGTGCAGATTTATACAGCGTGCTGTTTAAAACACTTCTACTAAGATAAAGTACTAATTATTTGTAACAGAGAATTATTCTTCCATGACAGATCTTTGTTGTTATTGTATTATCTAACTGCCTGATTTCTCTTAGCTGCTTATCTGCTTCAGACTTTTCCCAAATCATCCTTTGCTGACTGCTTTTATTTCATTTTCTGGTTGGCTGATCTTCTCCCTGCTTGTCTGAACTGAATGCAAAGGTGCTTCCTGACATGAGCCACTTCTGCCCTGGGTATAGGGTACATCAGTAACCTGAAACTGGGAGGAGTGTTATTAGATATCCTCTTATATGAAAAGGGGGGAAAATACTATTTAATTAATACACTGTTGAAGGATTCCAAGTGAAGATGTGACTTAGAATGGTCATAAACACATATGAAGATGTCGGAGGGGTGGTATTACAGCTTAATGAAGAAGAAAACACTGAAGCCCACTTAAATTATTGAATCCCAAGCATCCAAGACACCTAGAATCCCTAGAGATCACACTATTTAAAAAAGTGTTGCACAGTAAGTTCAAATATTCTCTGACTGTGACAGTGGCTTTTTAGTCAATTTATATTTAAATGTATTTGAGAAACTAAACTGACTGCACATTTTAAAAGCGTACTTAACACTAGGGTACACATGCCCTGACCACCATCACAAGGGCTACACCCAGGAAAGATATTAAATTTCTGCACTCAAAACTGCAATACAGTGCTTATACAACCTGCTGAATTAATAAGATGAACACTTTAATATAATATATTGATATAGTAATCTGTTACAGGGACATATGTCACACTAAATTATGTAAGTGTGCATTTTTGTTTGTTCATATGTAAAAAAAACCACAAAACCACGCACACCATCTTTCAGTGTTTTAAAGGAGTAATACACATTCAATAGAAATGTTAGTGAAATGGAATAAATTCAATGTTTCCATCCAGCTTCTCTAACGTAAGAGTGAATTTAGATTTATACTACATCTACACATGTATTAGATTCACATTGAGCCTTGTGCAGTGTTGCACATATACCTGGAGTTGTTAATTGTTTTTTTGTAACATTTTTGTATCACCTTCCTGGATTGTGCTTAAATTTACAAAGAACTGCTGTGATTTACTATAAAGGACTTCAGGAGGTCTTAAAACACATCAGAGTGATCTATTTCATGCAACAAAATGATAGACACCCTGACATGTTTGTTAAGCACAACTAGTTGCAAAAGAAACAGGACTAGATCCGTTTTTCAGACTAGTCAATTTGCAGTCACCATTACAGCACTGCCAAGACAAGAAGAACATACATCTGGATTCATTTTCTTTCTGATACAAATTGTAGGTGATTCACTGCACGACTGAGAACTAAGTCAGACGTGTTCTTCCCAAGCTGTGGCTTTTGTGCTAAGAATGGGAAAGCTTCTTCATAAGCACTCAGGTTGGAGTTCATTGTGGGAAAGAGAGACTGCAAGTGCATTGAGCATCTTCTGACTCTCCTCTCCCATCATGCCACCAACCTGCCACGCCTTACAGCACCGCACTCTGTATACACTGCTGCCTTCTCGGAACAGCTGTTCCTTGCAAACATTTCCCACCGAGATCTTCGGTTTAATTCCGTGCATTTGCACCGGCTCTGTTCTGCATTAAGTTAAAATAAAACGTCACAGAGGAAGTCCGACCAGAAAATGACCCAGCCAGGGATTCTGGGGACCACGGGCTCTGCCCCCGCCCGGGAAGTTACAGAGATCTTAGCAGAGACCGCGCGGGGGGTGAGGGGGGAGAAGCTCTCCCCAGGTGGGGCACAAGGTCTGGAGCCCCGCCCGTGCTCAGCCTCCCTCCCCCACTCCCCCTGCAGCTGGTACCTCCTTTCTCCTGCTGGGGGCCCCCGGCCGGGTGATCAGGGCGGTCTCCTCGCACACCACGGCCACGTCCTCCACGAAGACACAGTCGGGCAGGCTCTCGTCGGCCGGCAGCTCCAGCACCTGCAGCCCCAGCTTGTTCTTGAGCACCCCGACGTAGAGCTGGTGCTCCCGCTCGGCCCGGGCGAAGTCCACCTCCTTGCCCTTCTCTATCCGCAGCGCGTGCTGGGACAGCGACTCGGGCAGCGCCCGCACCACGGCGTGGCTGCACCGTCCCAGGCTGGAGCCGCCGCCGCCGCTGCTCAGCCCGGCCATGCTGGGAGGCGAGTAGCAGGCACCGCCGCGCGCTCACTGCACAGCAGCCGGGCCCCGCACCCACGTCCGTCCCCGCGGGGGAGAGCTCACGCGGCTCTGCCTGAATAGGCAGCCCACCATTGGTGCGGTTCCAAGGGAGTTCCCATTGGCTGGCTGCTTGGATCGAAGCACCTGATTGGTCGTTTTGGCAGAGCGCTTTACCTGGTTTTTGGGTTGCGGGGGCGCCGTAGGACCTGTTCCTGGCGGGGTGGGGGGAGCTGGAGGAGAGCGCTCCGCCGGCTGCCCTTGCAAGTGCTCACTGGCGCCCAGCTTGGAGCTAGCTGGCTGCAGACTGTGTGGAGGGAGGAAGATGGGGCAGGTGCCCAGGCTAGGGTGACCAGATGTCCCGATTTTATAGGGACAGTCCCAATATTTGGGGCTTTTTCTTATATAAGTGCCTATTACCCCCCCACCCCATCCTGATTTTTCATACTTGCTATCTGGGTACCCTAGCCCAGATCCCTCATTCACTGAGACTTCGCTGTATCTGGATTCCTCTGAAAGCACATAGGCCACATTCTGAACCTGGGTGCCAGTGCCTAGAGGAGGGCTCCCCTGCAAGTGAGGGTGGCAGAGAGAGGAGGAAGAGGTTCTTTATGCCCTTCCTCCCCTCCCCATCGTGCACCCATGGAAGGACCAGGTGTATGTAGTGCACCCTCAATGTGCAGGGATGGGTGAGGGCTCTTCAGCGCTAAACCTCTTTTTGGTAGTGAGGTGTCCAGTCAACAGAATTTGGTTCCAGATGCAAATCCAAACTTTCCCCGGAGCTGAGGAGGGAGGATATTTAGGGCCATCTTGAATTCTGAGTTGCTAATAACTTTCCAAGAGCAGTTTCTTAGGCCAGGTCTACACTATAAACTTGCATCCATATAACTAGTTTGCTCAGGGGTGTGAAAAATCCACACCATCGAGCGACAGTTATACCGACCTAACCCTGATAGAGACAGCGCTGTGTCAACAGGAGGGCTTCTCCTCTCAACATAGCTACTGCCTCTTGTAGAGGTGGATTAACTACGGTGACAGGAGAAGTTCTCCTGTTGGCATAGCATCATCTGCACTAAAGCACTGCAGTGGCACAGCTGCAGTTTTTTAAGTATAGTCCTGCCCATCCCAGCACAGTATTTTGTTAAAGGAAGTTATGTTTGAAAACAAAATGAGGACACATGAAGTGTGGTACCTTCAACTTGTGTAATACATTCATTCAAAAATAGTTGTACAAAAGTGACAAAAGCATCTCTCTCTCTCTCTCTCTCTCTCTCTGTCTCATTTAGTTCTTGATATTTTTTCCTTTCTCAAAACTTCCATGAAATGGCCTGCCCTGTTTCATATAAAAACATGAAAAAAAATCAGTTTTACATGTACTCATGGAAAATTTACTTTCAACTGAAAGAAGTTTCACACTTTTCAGAAATGTGATACTCTTGCCCTTATTTGGTCCTGTTTCAGAGAAATATCCTGTACATATTCAGTTTTTGAGTTAGGTTTTGTTGTGTGGTGTTGTTTTTTAATGCAAAATAAGGCCATTTTGACATTTTTAAAATCAAAGCAAAACTTGAGGTTTTCACATTGGTTTAGCATTTTAATACGCTGGTATTAGAAACAATGGTATATTCATTTGAAAATCATATACTATACATGCATAATGTCACTGTCTACCAATTATTGACCAGAATGGGGCCAGACTCTGTACCATGAAACCAATGGGAGTTTTGCCATTGATTTCAGTAGGAGCAGGGACCTAATAAGGCTTAAAGGCCAATGGGACAATGGAGCTAATTCCAGGATCAGGTGCCAAGTAACTTGTGTACTTTGAGATAAACAGCAAACGTGAAATCCTGGCTCCATGGAAATCTGTGCAAAACTTTGAATTGACTTCAGTTTTATTTCCAATAAATTCAGGAGTATTTACTTGGATGTCTGATCATTTCCATAACTGCATTCCTATATTTTAATTTACAATTATTCAAATAACCACAAGGGCACTTAGATAGCCAAATCATTCATATAACTGTACCTGCATGTCTTTGGCTTCATGTTAATTAACATCTAATTTGGGTATTGTAGAAAGGTGGCTGACCTCTCTCTGTCAAGATGCACAGCTCTGACAGTTTCCCCACACTGGACCAAAGTCTCCCTCTGGTGGTGGGGTAGTTTGGTTGGACGATTGAGTTCCTCCAGGGCAGCATGAGCCCAAGTAGAAGTTCAAAGGAAATTAAAAACAAACCATTAAATCTCCAAGTCTTTTTACTGGATCACTGTCCTCCCTTGAGGGCCTGTCTGCCTTCTCACCCTTCTGCACTACAGCATCTTTTCTCTTCATTGAAGAGATTTCCACTTCCATGAGGTAGCAGCAAGTGGGAGTCCAGTCTCACCCTCAACTCCAGCCTCCAGCCCAGGGACCTAAACTATGAAGTAACTGTCCACTCAAAGAAAGACCCACCTTACTTCACTTTTCCCTCAGCCATTTTTTTGCTTTGGAATGTCTCCTCCTCGGCCTTATCCAGCATCTTCAGTGAAGTACTTCCCAGGTTCCTTCCCTGGTCATTGAAATGACCACATGTGTGTAGTTATTTGAAGAGCTATATAAATATGGGTATTAAATGTATTTTCAGTATACAAACAGGCAAATAACCTCTGTTATTTAGGAGAATGACAAACTGTTGAGGATCTTGAAGAGAGAATTGGAACACACATAAAATTTGATGATTCTACATTTATCAAAGCATCATTTTTTATTTTTATCATTATAAATCATGGTTTTGGCCAATGACACAGACTTATTTTTTTATTTTTTTATTTTTTTGGTTAGCATGATTTTAGCCAGAAGAAGAAATGGTAAGATTAGTCAATAATTAGAATAAATATAGGTTCCATAATAAGAAATAGCATGTGTTGAAAATAGTGGTCTCACAATCACTGAATAGAGTAGTTCTAATCATTTTAGATTTTCAAAATTCAAAATATGTAAATTTATAAACTATTACCTTTTTTTATCTCTTACCAAAAATTGCAGGAATATGGGATATTAGGTGATGCTGCCATCATATGCACTTATTATATGATAGAATAATGTGGTTCTCCTGTAGTAATTATCACTGACATGGAATAATCTCAGATGGACAATAGAATCTATAGGTCTATATATCATAAACTTATGATAGTGCTGTATGGAAGGATTAAATATATAGAATTTGTTTCTAACAGCTTTTGTATGCCATTCTGTTTCTAAGGAGGAGGGAGGCTGTTTATCGACAGAGGTCCTTATGCAAAGAATACAATGCACTTTGAACCAGTAGCATTGTGGATAAACACAGGCAAATGGAGTTTATCCACTTCTCATTTGGGGAATGTGGAGTTTAGTTTAAGTTAGTTTACGCACTTCTTTTTTTACCACCACAACACTGCTTTGAACATATAAAATATTATATACGGACACAAAGTTATAGAAACAAAGTATTGAATATGCTATAAACCCAAATGCTACATGTAGCTATTTAAAGATACAGGTGCAATTTAAATGTAAATCAAAACTAGCTTTTTGAGGTTAATATTTTCGTAACCATGACATGTCATTAACAGTGTCTATGAACAGATGCACTAGGAGCAAAATTGTGCATATTTATGGTAAGGGTAGCAAAAATTATTCAGTTTACATATAAATTAACAGTACACACAAAAATTACACAGTCTGATTAGTGTAATGTTAAAATTCATCATAATAGCATATGCAGTAATCCAAAAAGCTACAGGATCAGCTATAATCACCTTAATTCTTTCAAGATTCATGGAGTATATTTATTTCATCGCTTTATGGATTACATTATTACAGATACTTTGTGTTTTCCTAATATAGTCAGTTCAGACAGGTGCTAGTGGAAGTCAGTAGAGATGCCATCTGCTAGACAGAAAAGAAAGAGGTATCACAAGGAAAGTATCCTAAATGAATTCAGCAACAAATAAAAACAAAAAACACCACCATTCTAACAGGGACCAGATTAGAAGGTACTATGCACAACACTTAAACAACATGAAAATTGGTAGCCTGAAAGAGAAAATAGGGGAAACACACTGTATGTTCACATAGAAAAGTATGAATATTCAATGACACTACAGTGACTTATTTGACAGTGCCAATGAGAAAGTCTTAAGCGGGACAGAGGAAAGTTCAATTACAGGAATGTACTTGTGAAAGCACATGTGAATACGTCAGTCACTTTCAAAAGAAAGCAGTAGATTTGAAAGAAGATATTATTTTAAAGGTTTGTCAGAACAGAAAAAAATCAACAAGTAAAATTCCATCAGTTTGACAAAATCATAGATTCATAGATTCTAGGACTGGAAGGGACCTCGAGAGGTCATCGAGTCCGGTCCCCTGCCCGCATGGCAGGACCAAATACTGTCTAGACCATCCCTGATAGACATTTATCTAACCTACTCTTAAATATCTCCAGAGATGGAGATTCCACAACCTCCCTCGGCAATTTATTCCAGTGTTTAACCACCCTGACAGTTAGGAACTTTTTCCTAATGTCCAACCTAAACCTCCCTTGCTGCAGTTTAAGCCCATTGCTTCTTGTTCTATCCTTAGAGGCTAAGGTGAACAAGTTTTCTGCCTCCTCCTTATGACACCCTTTTAGATACCTGAAAACTGCTATCATGTCCCCTCTCAGTCTTCTCTTTTCCAAACTAAACAAACCCAATTCTTTCAGCCTTCCTTCATATGTCATGTTCTCAAGACCTTTAATCATTCTTGTTGCTCTTCTCTGGACCCTCTCCAATTTCTCCACATCTTTCTTGAAATGTGGTGCCCAGAACTGGACACAATACTCCAGCTGAGGCCTAACCAGAGCAAAGTAGAGCGGAAGAATGACTTCTTGTGTCTTGCTCACAACACACCTGTTAATACATCCCAGAATCACGTTTGCTTTTTTTGCAACAGCATCACACTGTTGACTCATATTTAGCTTGTGGTCCACTATAACCCCTAGATCCCTTTCTGCTGTACTCCTTCCTAGACAGTCTCTTCCCATTTTGTATGTGTGAAACTGATTTTTCCTTCCTAAGTGGAGCACTTTGCATT